AATCACTGCTTCTACTCTTCCCTCCCTCTACCACCCTACCACCACCTCTTCCGCAGGAAATCACTGATACGGTTTCTGTCATTACGTATTTGTTTGTAATATATAAATATAATTAAATACATACATACATGTACATATATACATATATCATATACATACTTCATATAGTCAGTAGACACTCTTTTCATCTATTTTCTTTCACTCAACATAATTATTTTGAGCTTTACCCATATTGCTGTATGTATCAGTAGTTCATTTCTTATATTGTTAAACCTATTGGTCAGTATATCAGAGTTCATTTATCCATTAACGTTCTGATGAATATTTGTGTTGTTTGAACTATTACAAATAATGCTTCTGTGAACATTTGTTATGAATCTTCACAGAGTCGTTTGGTTTTTCCCTCAGGTAAATAAGAGGAATAAAGTGGTTGGATCATGTAGTTCATAGATGAAGAAATTTCAAAAAATGTCCAACAATTTTATAAAATGTCATACTGTTTTATAATCCCATCACCAGTATATCAGAATTCCAGTAAATCCACATATTTGCCAACACTGGGTACATTCAGTGTTTAAATTTACCCATTCTAATACATGTGTGGGGCTAATTCATTGTGCTTTGAGTTTGCATTTATCTAACAACAAACGAGGTTGAGCATAATTTCAGTTCTTAATATATGTATATGTATGGAATTATTTGCTTCCTTACTATTGTACTTTTAGAGTTATTTATATATTTTTGATGCAAGTTGTCTATTGAGTATATGCATTTTAAATATTTGCTCCTTGTCTATGGCTTTTGCTTCTATTGGTCTAACAGTACCTTTTGAAAGGAAATTTATAATTTTTATGAAGCTTAGTTTTTTATGGACTGTGGTGGTTTGTCATGTTGAAGAAATCCTTGACTGACATGAACTTACAAAAAATTTCCCTTATGTTTTCTAGAAAGTTTATAGTTTTAGATTTTATATTTAAGTTTTTGATTCATTTTTAGTCAATTTTTATATAGTATGAAATATGGAGCAATGTTTCTTTTTTGCCCTATATATAAATTTCAAATTATCTGGCTTTATTTGTTGACAAAACAATCCTTTCTCTACTAATTACTTTTAAATCATTGTCGAAAACCAGTTACCCAAATATGTGTGGGTTCATTTCTGTCCAAATATGAGAGTTGCCTTCAGTTAATCTTTCAGTGCATAAATTTCATGATTTCTCAGTAGGCCCCCATTTTCCTGTGTAAAACACCAATTATTTTAGTTGCTATTCCTAATCACAATGAAGCGATGAATATTTTTTCCTTGTTGGGAGTGGGGAAAATGAGAAGTATCAATCTGTTTAATATGGATTTGAATTCTGTTCCCTCTGTATTTTTTGTCTTTACCAATGCAATGACTTGGTGATTGTTATCTGTATCTATCATGATGATATCTAGGACACTGAGCTTATCCTTCAATGTTACTGAAATGGTAAGGCATAAAAAGGCCTCTTGTGCATTGATGACACCTCTTCAGAAAAATCCACTGATAGGGCATAAGGGTATAAATTTTACAAACCTTTTTATATTCATGCACACTTCCTGAACCAACCATGTACATAATCCTCCGCAATGATGACAGGACAGGGTTTGCAGATGGAGGAATGCAAAGAAGTGTAAATAAGAACACAAAGATGGTTGGGGGGCGCGGGGAGCAAAGACAGGATTGTGCCTATTCAGAGAACATGTGTTCCTAGAAAATCATCAAACTCTGATATCATCTGCATTTACTCACACTTTCCCATAACAGATAAAGTAAATAATGTTCTTAATTCTAATTCTGTCTGTTAGGTGCCTAGTACATTGAAAGAGACTTTATACAAATTGTATAACTAAGTCACATAAGATCCACATGTCTGTCATACATCGGCTGTAATTACAGATCCAGCCCCAAAATAACTGCTTGTGTTTTTTTCTTATTTATAGCTTACCTAAGGTATTTGTGCTCATTAGCACAAAAAGTTGAGAATTAGTATCAAAATAATCTTCAATTATTATGATAAACCTGTAATGATAATGAATTGACCTAGTTTTTTTTAATAAACTTGATCAATGATAATAATGTGATTTGAATAACAATGTGTGAGATTTAAGAACACACCAGTTAGAAAACTATAAACACTCAAGACATATTAATAGTTATAATTTCTAAACAAGAAATGAATAAAAACAGACTATAGGTGCAGACAGTGAGTTTCTTAATAGCCTAGAACAAAAGTAAACATTACATTGTAAATGTCATTAGTATTTCATAAAACACTGCCAAATTGGACTTTGCTTTACACAGTCTTTTTAAAACTTTCATTACATCTAAAACTTCAAATCAAATTATTCTCACCCATAATTACTTCAGACTCACTAGGTGATAGAGGAATGTTTTAAAAAAATAAGGCCATCTCCACTGGGATCATATACATTTAATTCTACAATACTTGTAACTATTAAATAAAGGTTCACAGTTCTTTAACCATATTTTAAAATATTATTACTGCACACTAGGACAAGTCAAACGTGCCCTGTTGAATTCTGATCCCAAGTAGGTCATCCCAAGTGTTCTGTCTACTTATAGCCAATGGCCACCTGCTCACACAGGATGTCATGTAGTTAGCTCCCTTAATGATCCAAGTAGGTCACTGCAGAACTGATTTGGCTGTAGTACATTCACATAGACTGAATTCATATCCTGTTCTATTATGCTTGCCCATTTTCCAACTATAACAACTCATGCAATGTGCACATAATTAAAAATTGAGAAACAGTACTTTGAAACGCTCCTGCCTCAAAGTTAGAAATTTTACAACACAGTCAGTATATGAGCTACTTTAGATATTCTTGACTGAAGTACCTGTCTTTTGTTTTTGAGGAGAAAACCCTTATCTTTTGATATACAGAGGTAATAACTACAAATATGTAATATCTACTCTGTAGCAGGTAATTTTCTGCATGTTTTACATATATTAACTTAACTGTTACACAACAAGCACATGAGGTGTATCCTATTAATATCCCCAGGCTATAGGGGTAGAAAGTAAGGCACCGAGAGGTTAAGTAACTAGTTCAAAGTCAAACAGTAGTAATTGGCACAGTTAGAATATGGAATTTGTCAGTCTGATATCAGAGTCTGTGCTCTCACCTACCCATGTGACTCCTTTCTTTGCTGCCTTATTAAGCTCTCTCTCTTGCTAAGTTTAAACATCATTCTAGTTTCCAGAGGGACTTTTTACCCCAGTTATCCTTTTCTCAGAGTGGCCTCCTACACAGAGAGGTTGAAGTGGAGATGAACCAGAAAATAGATAAGTTGATAAGAAATGAGTCAGTAATCACAAATGATTTTTATAAATTAAAAGGCTAAAAAAGTGAAATTTCTAAGCATAAGACTAGCAAAAGTGTAAGGAAGTTTTTAAAATGGAAGTTTGATGATTATTTTTTTCCAAACTAATGAGAAACAGTACCTCTTCGAATTTGATAATAAATAAAATGAACAATTAATTATCTGAGATCCTTGAGAAGCCTTAAAAAGCAATGTGAATCTCTAACAACACCAACTGTGGGGAAATCGTGCTTTAAGTATATTTCTGAAGTCCTAGGAATGGCAGTGTAAGTGACCGTGCCTGGGTGTAGTATTTGCAGTTGGCCTGAGCTGATGAAGGCTGAACAACTGGCTACAGGGCAGGGGATCTCTGATTGGTGGCATTAGCGAACAGATTTGCCACTGTGGTCAATTTCAAGCTCACAACTTGATTTCACTGAACACAGAATTTGAAAGAGGTAACATAGCACACTCTTATTATTTTCTCCCTGCAGATAAAATAGATGTAAATTATCTCAAGAGCATAGCTAACAGTAAAATGATTTTAAAATTAAGCACTGTTTTATAGTTTACATATATTTCTATGTTATATAATTCAATTTTTAGTAATGCTTGCCATTTTTAGCAAGCAGATTACAAAGCTCCTGAAAATGTAACATCTGGCTTCTGTGAGCTAAAATGAGCTGACTGGAGTTTCCCAGTAATACCAAAAAATGTTTGGATGACTTTGTAACCCATAACGTCAAAAATAAAAGACCATTAAATTTCTTAGGCCTGATATTAAGTAACTAATTATAGGTAGGACACATCTTTCTTCAAGAATTAACTCGATTGTAAACACCAGTTATTGCACATAGGCTCTCCTATATTGTTGACTCGTCTGCAGAATCCACAGATTCACAATTAACTCTGCTAGATTTATATTCTTCTTTCTATTTTGTGGCAGATTCTACTCCTTATGAGACTCTTGGCACTAGTTTTGATTGCCTGTTATCTCCTTGAAGATTTTTCTTTCTCATTGGCTTTCTGATTACTTTTTAACATTATCTAAAAAGTCTTTATCCTGATGCATAAGTCAGGTGTTCAAGGGCAGTCCTCAGTCTCTTGTTTGTCCCCTAGCAGAACAACTAACTGCATTAATGTGCTGGATAGAAAGGCAAAAAGGTCATCTTCCATTAGCAATGTAAACAGATCCCTCAAATGCATATACTAAATGGCTTTTAAGTTGAAATTAAGGTTCTTTTTGGAAGCTGTTAGAATAACGATCTGATAGGCCTATTTACTGGGTATTAAATACTGTCCTACACATCTTGCCTGGCCACTCTGCTCCCCTTCCAGATCTCTGCTAAGATTAAAAACAAGTATATAGTATAGATAATTTTACCAGAATAAGTTTGTTTTTTCTAACTAAACAGTTGTGTTACATAATAGTTGCCATGTCATGAATTCCTACTGTGTGTTGCCAGGGGTTCTGATGTAGACAGCTCTTACAATGTGTGCTGTAAGTGCAAAATGTATAATTCTAAGTGATTTCAAATATTAAAATAGTACATCTTAGAATTTCTTCCAGGTTAATTTTACATAAAACCACAAAATTTCAATAAATAGTAATTTTTAAAATGTGCTTAACTCACATGGCTGTGTAACTTACCCTACTTGGGCTACACTTTGGTGACTTTAGCTGGTCTTGCTCGTGCATCTGCACTCAGCAGTAGGTCAGGTAGATCCTAGCCAGATCTTGGGATTGGTTGGCTATCTGTTGATTCAAGATGGTATAATTATAATGACAGGCAATTTGGCTCTGCTTTTTGGGATACGTTTTTCATAGGAATGGCAGAAGTTTAAGAGAAAAATTAAAAATATAAAGGATTTTTTTCAATCTTCCATTTATGCCACATCATCTAATATCCCATTGGTTAAAGCAAGTCATTTGGCTGGGCCCAGATAATCAGTAGGAGGACACTATAAGGTTATAGGACATAGGATGTAAATATATGAGGCATGAAGAATTGGAGCCATTAATGCAATTAATCTACTGCATTTATCATCAGTGGGACTAAGTACCTAAGTCACAGAATCATGCATTCAGTTGTATATGAGAGCTGATTAGTAAAAATGATTAAGATGCAATAAGTATATGTACCAATTACCGAAGATGAATGTAATTATTATGTATCACAGATACAGTGATTTAAAGAAGATATCCAGGAGGGGAAAAATAAATAAATTTTCAAGATTTTTTTGAGCCAATTGTTTTCCACAGGGATCTTAAAATCAGCTGATGGGCATACTTATACCATAAAAATGGCAAACACTACAAATCAGGGCTTTGGAAAGCCAGTTTATCATCACACTATATGCATTTCAATAGTTTGAATTTAATGCTTCACCTATGTATAGAAAATTCCAAGTGATTATGCAATCAACTTAAATTTCTATTTCACATCAGGGAAAAGAGTATATGCCTAATTATCAGCTAGAGGTTTTGTTTTCTGTAGTTATGTTCCACATATGCAAATAGACTAAAATTAATTGTTCTAAAGATAGATGGCTCATCATATTTTGAACAGGTACAGTAAAATAACAATTAAGTAAACATCATCAAAGAAATTGCTTATGAGCCTAAAGATTCCAATTTACTATTTTAAGGGTATTTTAATTCACATTCATTCTGTAATGTCCATAAATTTGCTGTAGATAATCCCTGGGGCAGCATCAAATTATAATACAGTATCTATGAAGTTTTGTCTGTAGACAGATAAAACTATAAATTAGGTTGACCCAGAACCAAAGATCATATGGAAGCTCCTTTACACTCAAAGAATTTGAGCAGAGGTATGTACTCATTTCATAAAAAGAAATCAGAAATTCATTGTTTCAAAGAGGAGTAAATATGTTCTGTAAAATCTGGAGACTAATGAATCTGAGGATGAAGGAAAGGCAAATCTTTCTAACTTTGAGCCATTCTTCAAACCTTTAGACGCACATTGCTCTCACCATAACAAAAATTATCAATAGGCCATAACTCAAGAAATTATATTATACTGGATAGAGTGGAAAATGACTATGAATTGATGTTTTTCTTTTGTGAGAGAGTAAAGAAGGTATAAAGGGATTCCTCTTTATGAAAATTATAACTATACCAGTAAATTGTGAAATTATATCTAGTATTTTTATTATTAAGAAAGGAAAACACTAGATTTGTGCATATACACATATATTCTATATCTATCTATCTCTATCCATCTAATTTCCCTTGTTTTGTAGAATATAAAGACTATTCCTGAAGATGAACTGTTTCAATTTGTATCTAAACTCTGTAACTTTGAGAAAATATTCAAATTGTGCTCATTCTTCTCATCTCTAGAGTGTGGTAAAAATAGTATCTGCCTCATTGTTATGATTATTAAATCAGTTAATACATACTAAGTACTTAGAATAAATATTTATTAATTTTCAATAAATAAATTATTGTCTTCTATTGTTATATGATGCCCAAGCTGCCCAAGTAAGTTTTAAAAAGTAAAATTAACTCAGAAAGTTTAATCATATTGTCATTGTTTAAAATATTGGTTTATTTCTCAAAGATTTGTATATAATAGATTAGTATAGTTAGGGAGTGTGTAGATACAGTCTGAGGATAGCATTAACAGTCCAGGCTCAGGCTAAGGGACTTCTCCCTTTTGCTTTGAAGGCCATGTATATTAATATACTGTATAAAAGAACCATCAGTTAAAACAAATCTTATGAAAACACCTATCTGTGTTGCCTAGAATCCTTTATCCCTGAAGTTATAATCAACCAAATTGTGCTTAATAATGATCTTTGTTCAGATATTTTGAACTACATAAAAATGGTACATTAGTAATATTTGCCTGTGTTTTCATCTTTTAAAAGCTGTAACTTTACTTTGGAGTCAAAGAGAAAGTATGAGTTATATCTGGATGGCATATGCCTAGCAGAAGTGAGAAGTCACAATATAAAAAAGACGAGCAAGTGATCCTGGTAGTAATATATTGATTACTATAAGAATGACTTTATAAATTTTATAATGTTCTGAGCTGAGATATAAAAACTTTTATACTTTGTAAACATGGAGCTTAATTATACATATCAGATAATTAGAAATCTCACAATTACAGATAAATGCATACATATCTCAATGAAAAACCCATTAAAATAAAAATTGACTAGTAAAAAGTTGTATAAAATGCTTTTATTATACAGTGTTTGCAAGTAGAGAAAAATAGATATAGGACAGTTATGTTACTTACAAATCTTCTTGGGAAATCATGCTGTGGCAATATTAAGGAGCATTTATAAAATGATCCTAGATTTTTTTTCCACACTTCATTTGAAGATATAGGTAGCAAAGAGAACTACTGAAGTTATGAACATGGGAACTGCTATGTTTTTAATTAAAAGATATATAATTCTCTTATCTATAGGAGACCATATAGCCACAGGCACTTTTAATATAATGGTCACAGTCATAGAATATATACATATGTTTTGTTTTGTTTTGTTTTGTTTTATTGAAACCGAGTTTCACTATATAGTTCAGGCAAGTCTTGAACTCACTATGTAGCCCAGGCTGGCCTTGAACTCATGATGATCCTCCTGCCTCAGCCTCCTAAGTGCTGAGATTATAGGTGTCTGCTACCTCACCCGGCAAGAATATACTATAAGGAAACTATATTATACAACTTTAAATTTTTGTAGTGCTGGAGATTGAACATCATACATGCTCTATCACTGAGCCATATTCCTAATTATAATTATTTAAAAATTGATATTTATGGTAATGATAGCTAATCATTCAAAATGAAACTGTGTTGAATCAATATTCAGAAGCTCAGATTTTCAAACAATAGCAGTGCCAGACTGACCTGAGTGATTGTTATATTCAGATAAAATAAGAGAATAAAAGTCTTAATCTTTAAAATGATATGAAGATGATTTATTGAATGCACATGTATGGTCATTACATGAAATGCAAGCTGACTATAGATCCAGGCTCATGTTCATCATTATTAAATGGTCATTGCATATAGCACACTCATCCTCTCAGTCTTTTTTCTGATATATTTACAGAAATAGAAAAAAACTGTTTTTAGGAGTAAGATGAAAACTTTTATGCATCCCTCTATAGATTAAAATGGTTGACTCAGCAGCACTTTAAGTACAACACAGAACCAAAGCAATCTGATGTCACTTTAGTTTACTGTAAACATAGTACTCAGGACAAGTGTTTTACTCACATGGATTTCTCCTAGCTGAAATTAATTTGTCCCTTCTTTGTGCTTGTGCAGCTCATGATTTCAGGCTTTGCTACATTTTGCCTTATTCTAAGTTCTACTTTTTGTTTAAAAAGGTAAAAGATCAACATTTATAAATATCATGATAAAATTTTAATGATTTCCTGTTTTTTCTCTTCCTATATTTACCCTTCTCTAAATCCATACTCCAAAGCATATGCTTACTACAGAGTGCCAACTATAGGTCAATTGGTTCCATTAGAAAACTAACCAATAACAGGGAAAACCAAAGAGAAGAATCCACTAGAATTAAACAACACTGTCATTTTTAATATATTTTTAATCTAGATACAAAACTGTCAATGTCTTTATTTCTGACAAAAACGTACTTGTACTATGTACCATACATACCGTGAAAAGCAGATTGTGTGAAGTTGAATTCTCCAAGACTACTATCTTTGGATGGGTAAATTCATTCTCAGAATAGTCTTACACTTCTCTATATTCTAGCACTTAGAGTCTTACAACAGGAAGCACTACAGATCTATGTCAAAGAGCATTAATCAAACCAACGGAGTTTACATTGATGTGTTAGGAATGAAAAAAAGACAGAAGCTGAACATATGCAGTGAAAGGAAAAAAAATCAATAGTAGGTTTTGGTCCATATGGATTTTTCTGCTCTTCCAAAGAAGGCAAGAACAGTATGTATCATATGTATGTACCACCTACCCCTGCAGACTCAGCCTCTTATAAAGACATGGGACAAAGTCATCATGATCTATATTTTACAAAATTCTAGTGACTAGGTCAAACCAAAAACCCTATTTTAAAAGTATAAAGTTAAATAGATGATTGATTTTTTTATGAGACACCACACCAGGCAAATTAGTCTGACTGAATAAATACTGATGATCTATATCCTAAAGTAACACTTGTGTGGAGTCACACAAAGATCCTTGAGAGATAAGCTGACTACTGAGGGCCCCTAATGACCCTATTGAGTATCATATGTGTTTTGTATTCCTTCTCTTTTCTTGCTCCACTCATCCTCCCACAAGGGCATAGGACTACTTTGAAACAAGTAAAAAAGAAAATGATCTAGAAAAAGTTGTTGATCCATAAATGTAAGACAGTGAAATAATATAGAATGAAAACCAGGTCAACAGAATGTAGTAAGTTAGAACATGGCAAGAACAAACTAAACATGTTTGGTCCATCTCTAAACCTCAATTTTGCAAGGTTATGGATTAAAATTGAACTTTGTGTATGTATCAGTTTGGTTCTTTGGGGTATAGGACCTTTTCCGTAGGCTTAATTTCCCTGAAGTATTTCTAAGACTTAGTTTTTCTTTGGTTGTGTTTAATTATGAACCCTTTATTTCTCAGCTTTGTGATATCTTACACAAATAGCTATCTTAGCTGTATATTTTCTACATAATGTAGAACTGGCTTTAGTAAGAGAAGTAACACATGAGAGAACAAAAAAATGATCTGTTGT